CTTCAGCCTCCATTATTTCTTCAGCACAAGCACAAAGAGAAAGTAAACATCAAAGAGAGCAAAAACAGCACAAGAGAAAAGATTCGTTTTTCTTATATTGTTTACACACAAAGATATTAAACTGACAGAATATTGGTAACAAGCAGAGAGAAAGCAAACATCTGATTCTAATCTATCTGAATTCTGAAGTATAACAGCATTGACTAAACTAGCAAAGGTGTGAAATGCATCGTGACTATTATAACCAGAAAGAGAGGAAATGTGATGAAGTTCATACCTCATTGTCACATGAAGCATCTGAGTCGTTCATTTTATTATCTATGTACAATGTCAAATACAGATTACAGTGATGTGGGAACATTGTAAAATTTTCCAAATATAATAAGACCTCTCCATCACTTCATACGTTTTCAAGAACAGAGGCAACTAATTTTCGAAGACAGGAAAATGTGAAAATATGAGCCATTATCGCATTAGTAGACTACTTCATGATTTATCTTTCACACTAAACCTTAAAAGAAAACATATGTGATTTCAAACAGAGAGCTTATCTTCTAAAGGTTTCCACTTACCATGCAAACAAGATATACACAATCGAAGGACATAAGTACTAATCACAGAAACATTCCATGTTTGATGCCTAATTGCTTACTATAAGTTCAACTATGCTCCTAACTAAATGAATTTTTACCACTTGCACTTAAAAACAATAAGGGCCTATGCATTTTACAGTAATAAGCTGAATGTCCAAGTGTAATATAAGGAGCATTACATTTGATTAAGCCTCCTTTATAAACTCTTTTACACACACATATAAATTAACATCTGTCTATTAAATGGATTCTCAATATCTGTCTATTAAAACCTCGTTAACATCTGTCTATTAACATTTGACTGACCTGCAGATGGCTGTTTCGAAGAAGGTGGGATGACCGAGTGGGTGGAAATAGGGTGCACCTCACCCCTGTGCTCAGCAACGCCATTGGTAATTAGGGCCATATTGGGCGTGTGGCTCACCACCGCTTGAGGCTGCTTGACTGCCGGAGAACATGGAGTAAAGCTATACCCAAAAATATCCATGTTGTCCAATGGCGACCAAGGAGAATAAAGCTTATCCGTAGGCTCAACTGGCACATGAGAAGCCATGGCGAAGCGCGTGATCAAGGACGTAAAAGGCAGGGAGTCGGGCATGGAAGTTGGGAATGCAGCACGACAGATGGCACAAAAAATGTAGGTGGCCAGATCAATGGGCACATTGTTGCCAATGGCATAAAGAAGGCGAGCTCTATCAGGGCTAAGCAAAGAAGGGATAACGTGACAAGGAGGATCGATATTATATCTCACTATGCTGTTAAGCACTTTGTAGAAATCACTCAGTCGATTTTCACGCAAAACCCTGACCCTCTTGTTCCAACCCAAAGTAGATTTCACCAACTTCAAGTCAAGATTATCAACAAGAAGCCCAGGAAAACTAGGTGATTTTTCATTTGGGTTTGGCCTAGCAAGTTTAAGCAACTGGGCAATGCCAGAAACAGAGAAATTCAACACCTTACCTCGCAAATACACATCAAATGAGTCAGGGTATTCTCGACCGCTGGAGAAATGCAGAGTCTCATCCCACAAACAAGAACCAAAAGGGCCCAAGCCAGGTGGGTTTTTCTGCTCGGCGAAGAAAGGAGGAATGTTTGAGTAGAATTCTTGGACAATCTGGATATTAGCAGGCTCTGAAGGACCCATTGCCAAAAGCCAACCTCTTGATTTGAAGATTCTGCGAAGCCCAAGATCCTCGAAGTCACTGAATTTGACCTCCCGCTCAACCGTCACACGTTGAACACTGAAGATTTTCTTGTAGCGGTTCATTGCTTCCGAAGTCTTGAACTTACTTTCATCAATATCGTCATCAACGTAAGCTCGCCCTCTACCCATCAAATCAATAATATCCAATTACAACGAAGTAGTAGTTTTAGAAGATTGAGCTAAAAATGGTTGTGGGTTGGATTGAAGGAGGAGGATGACAAGAGCAAATGACGTTTGAGTTGGGAGAAAATGGAAATTCCGAAAATGAAAAATGTATACTGTTATTCTTCTAGGGGAGTGAGGGGGGAAAAGAGGGAGGAGATGGGAGGGAAACTTTTTCATAAACGCGCCACTTTAATTTTACGTTCAGAAAGTTGATTTTAAAATCTCTACTATTTTGCCCACTTGGCCTGGACAATCAATCCGCTATCCTGGACAAAATGCATGATAAAGAAGAGCATCCAAATCAGATCGTTTTTTTTTTTTTGGTTTGAAAAGGAAGTTCATTGAGTTGGGATTAATGGATGAGAAGACGTGGGGCCCGTGTCGTCAGGACACATAACGAGCTGGGATGAAAGGATCGTAGGAATCCAACGACTTCCTTCAAATTACTGTTTCGTTTTCTTTTCCAATTTAATTTCTATCGTTATATAATATCTAACGGTTAAGCTTTAATTTGAGCAAATCCAACTATAAAAGAAAAAATACAATGGCTCAAAATCAAATCCAATGGCCAAAATAGTATTATTAAATAATCAAAATCAGATCAAACAACAAAACTCACTCCAAACGCTATAATAATCCACCAAAATTATTTTTTGTTCCACTTTGTTAATTTTGGTAAATCTCCTTCCATTCTTGTTGAAGAGAAAACTCCAATTAAGTGTGAAATTACATTATGTTTTGGAATTTAAATTTTTTAAAGTTAAAATAATTAGGAAATTAAATCATGAAAGTTTAAACAAAAAAATTGTCAAGAAAACTTAATGGCAAAAAAATTAGGAATTAACCATTCTTAAACAATTTAATAAAGTTGCGTTTGAGTCTGTATGGTTAGAGGAAAAAAACGATTTAAGTCCGAGCAATATATTAATAGTTGTATTTTAGAGTTTTGTTCAGTGCGTTTCATGGTGAGCGATATTCTGGAAAAAATCATTGAGAATCTGTATCCGTTTTGTGCACTGTACTTAAATGCCCCGTGGTTGTTGTTGAATTTCTCCGTTTGCATCTATTCTGTTGCAACTTTCTGTTGATTTCCTGACCAAATCTAGTAAACATTATATTCAAAGAAAAGGGGGGGATTTTGATTTAGAACCACAATTGAGTGTTATTCATAGGTTAAGTTCTTATGGTGATACTATGATTTTTTATTTTTTATTTTTTGGGTCAAAAGAGGAATTCATCATAATAATACTCTCACCCAAAAGTTGGGGAGGAAATAGTACACGATAACAAAGTAACAGCTTACACCATCAAAACATAGGTAGAGAAGCATAACAGGTGCTATCTCAGAAACATAGATGGGATAAGACACACACTAGGCTTGAAAATAGTGTGGACAAGGGAGGCCATCATGAGACAGAATCGAAACAAGAGAGGGAGGAGGTTGCGACATCCATCGGACGTTACCTGATATATTCATATTTTGCATATATAATCTGTCTTTATTTGCATTGTTTTCATGTGAAATTGGTTAGTTTAATGTGCTTGGTGAAGATTTTGTAGGAAATCATACCTAGCAAGGCTTTGGAGCAAAAACTATAATTTTGGAAGCTTAAGAGATCAAAATGGGTGGAGTTATCATCTCAACAAAATCTCAAGAAGTTACTCTGTCATTTCATCAAACACCTGGGGTGCATCTGTGCAAGTGTCAATTTATATCCACAACTGGTCTCAGTGACCAGCGCTAGAGAGATTGAGTTAGAGAAGCTTACCATCACATTAATGCCTCTCTCATGAAGAAGAACCCAACGTAAATTGCTGATACTGTAGAAATGGTGGGTTGCATCATCTGAGCAATTGCAAGAGATGCTAGATGACAAAATAATGAGATGGTCAATATGAATGAATTGCACTATTGGTTACCTTTTGATTGAGCCACCATGGTCAGCTACTTTTGGAGCAAAGCGTGGGTATCGGCTGGACCCTTGAGCATACTTTCCTATTTTTCCTTTAAAACCCCAAAGCCAATTCCCTCTTTGACTTGAAGCCGCATGTAACTTCCTTTTGAGAATAGGTATTGGTTTTTCTCATACATTCCTATTTTTCCTTTCCTTCCTAAATAAATATTATCTTCCTTATTTTGGAGGAGTCCCTTGGCCTATAAATACAAAGCTTTAACCTAATAGCCAAATAATCTTTTTCCACCATCGTTTTCTCTACCATATTTTTCCACCAACTTTCATACAACCAGAGAAATATCAGAGGAAGCCAAGAATTTGCTGCTGCATTATTTGAGGAGCTTTTGAAGGTGTTCCTGTGAAGATTCTGAAGATCAAGTCCATCGGCCAAATTGGTTTTATGACAATAATTCTCTTGTTTATATTTTCTTCTGTCATGAACTAATTTCCCTTGCTAGGGCTACGATGTAGCCTAACCATGAATACTCAATTTTTATAGTTATATTAATTCCTTATTATTATCCCATGTTGAGTATTTGTTACTGTTCTTAATGATTTAAATATCTAGCTAATATTTAATTGATGATCCAAGCGGAGACCGAGAGGAGATGTTTGGTGTTTGCTTCTTGTAACAAAATACCATGACTTGAATGAGTGCCCGAGAGGGACTAACATGACTCATGCAGTTTTCTTGTAGGTTCTCATAGAACTTAATGGGTTCTTGGTTTTCTAAATCCGTTGCTCGAGAGAGAATGGGTTGTTAATTGAGAATACTTTTGGTTGAGCCCGAGAGGGGATATCGAATGAATTAGGAGAAACCAACTGTCAACAGGGATAGTAATTAGGGTTAATTGGCTATAAGAATTAAGTAGAATTGGTTATGGTGAAATCGGATGCTCTAGTGTCTCATCATCTTTAATTTTCTATCGTTAATTAAATTGTTATTTTTCATAATTGTTTTAGTTTTCTTGAATCAATCAATCTTCTTAATTAACTGTTCAAATAAACTTCTAAATTAATCATAATTGGTAGTTAATAGGAAATTACAGTCTTCGTGGGAACGACACTCTACTTATTTCTATATTACTTGTACGAATTGTGCGCTTGCAATAATTTCACAACATTACCCACCCTCGCGTTTGACACCTTTGCTGCAGCATGGGCAGCTTGATTTGCCAATCTTGGCACCCAGTTCCATTGGACATACTGGAATTCTTGAGCCTTTCTCCAAATCGCCGTGAGGATAGGGAAAATCTTCCAGCTAGCCATTGTTCTTTTCTTTGTAATGCAATCCACAACGATCTTCGCATCACATTCAACCACAATATTTTGGTGATCCAACTTCGCAGCTAAATTAAGTCCCATAAGAACTACCAATGCTTCCGTCTCTTTAGGGGAGGATAAAATACAGGATCTAGATTCACCCCCAAGTGAGTGTCCCCGATAGTCCCTAATCACACAGCCAGTGCGAGCAGCCATCGTGTCTTTACTCCAAGCTCCATCAACGTTAATTTTGATTATGGGGGCCAAGGGGGCCTACCAAACCGCATCATTACTGGGGGGAAAGCGGGTGGGGATGGGGGGAAGTAAGTTGCATTGTTCCACAATACTGGCGAGAGATTTGGCTAAAACCGACTGAGGACAAGGCAACAATTCATTAAAAACAGCACGACATCTCTCCTTCGATAGTTCCCAACCAATGATACCAGCAATTGCTGCAATGGGAAGGCCAATCGTATGTCTAGGAGATACGGTCTCAAGGGATTGCAGCCAAACATCAAAAGTATGGTTGGTTGGTTTGTTTTGCATTCTATTCTCTTGAGGGGAAATTTTACTCATTCCAACTATTAGAATCACTCGTAGAAATGAAATCTTATCTGATAAGTCTAATAGGAAGAAATGAAATTGGTAGTTCATAGATATTCTTGTGTGTGAATAAACAGTAGCAAATTAGTAAGTCCACAAATGCTGCTACTTTATTTGCATGTCTAATCTTGCTGACTGTCTCTTTTACTTGCAGTTCATTGATGTTGGAACCCTGATTTCTCCAAAGATTTTTACCCGACGTTGTATTCGAATTTTTATTTGATTTGATTTCATGTTAGTTAAATGTTTCCAGTATATGAACTAATAAAAGAAAAAAAAAAAGAGAAAAACAATGAGAAAAACAAGGGAAGGGAAGCGCTCAGAAGCTTGCCATTTGTGTACAGAATAATACATAAAAAATTCCTGGTGTATACACTCTCTGTGGGGTTATAATAAAATGGATATAAAAATAAATTATTACTTTGCTAAAAAACTGTTTAAGTTTGACAGAATTTTGCATAAGACTGAAAACTATGAGATATGAAGAAACAATGCTGGAAACCAAATGTTTAAAATACTCACCAGAAAATAGAACATTCATGGAAACCAAATGTTTGGATAACTTCCAATCAAGTTCTTAGGAAATTCCCAATACATAAGTGCTTACAAACAAGACACTATAACAAAGAACTGAGCTATATGAATCCAATACTTGAAAACGTTTCCATGGAAACTATGCACTCTTCAAGTCAAATGAAGCATGGATGTCATCTCGGAAGGTGCTGGAGCTAAAGATAAAAGTTAACAAGCACCCGTAAGTATGGAAACAAAAGTTAGTTATAAAAACTGTTGATGTTCAAATTTCTCCCGTTTCACTCTTTTATTTTTAGTTCAATCCTTGGCTTCTTTTTCTTTTTTTTCGTGTAGTCTTGATTCTTGGAAGCAACATTTTTACGTTTTATTACTTTTTTGTACAATTATTTCTTCTCATCTGAGTCTTCTTAGCCCTCTTTTTGCTCCAAGGTTAGAGCATTTACCTTCGGAAAATTTTTGTTTACACTACATTATGCAACTTTACGACAGCAAAAAGGACACATTATAAGCAGTCAATATTTTATGTTCGATTTTGTTAGCCAATATTATTATTATTATTATTATTATTATTCTTATTTTGAAAAGTAATCGTTAGCCAATATTATTAGTGTTGAATAAAAATAAAAATTAAGAAAAAACTTAATCAAGACCCCACATGGGAAAAAGATTCTAGGTCCAATACCATATTCTGTTTGTTGCACTAGGTCCAAGATTAATGAGGGGATCTCGGAAGATTCTAGGCCCAATTTCATTTTTGTAACCCACGAAAATAGACAGTTTGGGTTCTATTCATGTTTTGTCATGGCCCATGGGAGTTTTCAATTTTTCAATACGAATACAATCCAACATGGTCTCAAACTTCACCGACATGGTCTCTAACAAAGGCAACGTCTACAGTGCATCCGGTGCACCAGTGCGCCATTTTTTTTTAAACTATTACAACAAGTAGTAGGTAAAGGATGACGGGAAAAAGCTTAGATGCTTATTTACTTTTCTTCATTTGGTTAGTACATGTTCCAAGGTCTACTTAAAAAGCTTAGATTTTTAGTTATTCTCATGAATAATATTGTTTTGTTTTCCTATCTTGTAAAAATTTGGTGAATTTAATTTCAACAATGCTAATACTTTCAGAGACTTGTTGGACTCATATTTAGTGGAGCCCATGCCAAGTCTGATACAACCCATGTGAAGGGGCCCGTGTCGTCAGGACACATGGCAAGCTGGGATGAAAGGATCGTAGGAATCCAACGGCTTCCTTCAAACTACTGTTTTGTTTTCTTTTCCAATTTAATTTCTATCGTTATATAATATCTAAAGGCTAAGATTTAATTTGGGCAAATCCAATGTACTACAACAAAAAAAAAAAAAAAAAAAAAAAAAAAAAAAAAAAAAAAAAAAAAAAAAAAATAATCAAATCCAAAAAAAAAAATCCAAATAACCAAAATAAATAATCAAAATCAAATCAAACACTAAAACTCACTCCAAACGCGATAATAATCCACCAAAATCGTTTTTTGTTAATTCTCACTTTGTTAATTTTGGTAATTCTCCTTTCATTCTTGTTGAAGAGAAAACTCCAATTAAGTGTGAAATTACATTGTGCTTTGGAATTTAAATTTTTTTAAGTTAAAATAATTAGAAAATTAAATCACAAAAGTTTAAACAAAAAAATTGTCAAGAAAACTTAATGGCAAAACAAATTAGGAATTAAAAATTCTTAAACAATTTAATAAAGTTGCGTTTGAGTCTATATGGTTGGAGGAAAAAACGATTTGAGTCCGAGCAATATATGAATAGTTGTATTTTAGAGTTTTGTTTAGTGCGTTTCATGGTGAGTGATATTCTTTAAAAAGTAATTGAGAAAGTAAATATCAAAGAGAGGAAAAACAGCACAAGTGAAAAGATTCGTTTTTCTTAGATTGTTTTTTCATAAAACCACGATAACTAGACACACAAAGATATTAAACACACAAAGTATTTGGTAACAAGAAGAGAGAAAGAAAACATCTTATTCTAATCTATATGAATTCTGAAGTATAACAGCATTGACTAAACCAGCAAAGGTGTGAAATGCATTGTGGCTATTATAACCATAAAGAGACAAAATGTGATGAAGTTCATTCCTCATTGTCACATGAAGCATCTGAGTAGTTCATTTTATTATACAATGTCAAATACAGATTACAGAGATGTGGGAACATTGTAAAATTTTCCTCTGTGATTAAAATTAAAAGAAAAATCAGATAATGGATTCTATTTTTATATAACATAACTACCCATTATATTTTTAAATCCAAAAAAAACACAGTGTTGAAGCACGTGAGAAAGAGGCTAGTGAATATATTAAATTTAAAATAACCTAACAAAAAGTAGTAAAAAATACTGTAGATCAACTCATATGTCAATATCCTATTTGTTGTTATTTTTTTTTTTTTTTTTTTTTTTTTTTTTTTTTTTTTTTTTTTTTTTTTTTTTTTTTTTTTTTTTTTTTTTTTTTTTTTTTTTTTTTTTTTTTTTTTTTTTTTTTTTTTTTTTTTTTTTTTTTTTTTTTTTTTTTTTTTTTTTTTTTTTTTTTTTTTTTTTTTTTTTTTTTTTTTTTTTTTTTTTTTTTTTTTTTTTTTTTTTTTTTTTTTTTTTTTTTTTTTTTTTTTTTTTTTTTTTTTTTTTTTTTTTTTTTTTTTTTTTTTTTTTTTTTTTTTTTTTTTTTTTTTTTTTTTTTTTTTTTTTTTTTTTTTTTTTTTTTTTTTTTTTTTTTTTTTTTTTTTTTTTTTTTTTTTTTTTTTTTTTTTTTTTTTTTTTTTTTTTTTTTTTTTGTTGAAAAAAAAATATAAAATCAAGAAATATGAGGTGACTAGTTGAGTTCATAATCTCAAAAATGTTATTGTTCATTTGCAACATACGTCACTGTATTCCATTACACGCGCATGCTCAAAATCTTCAATCAACGATTGGTTTTCTCATTGACAGTTGCATATCACCATGCTGCCACATTTAGACTTTGGCTTCTTAAAAGTACAGGGGCATAACCCTGATTTTTACATGCTATGATTTTGTTTGGCTTTTAGTTGCTTGTAGTCTGTGATCAGGTAACGAGACCGTAGATGGTGACAAAACATAATATGGGTTTGCACAGCATGATAAAACAAGATGTTCTGAAATAAGAGATGTGGAAACGATGCTTACAAGCTCCTCATCTTAATTTATGACAAAGCATTAGTAATTGATTTTTGAAACTCACCCTCTGCCAGAACAAAATGTCAATTAAGCATTAGAGTGCTCCAACCAGACAGAACCCGAAATAGATATAAGCCTATCATTGAGAGCAATACACATTAAGATAGGCCTCATAAAAAGATGATGAAAATTATCAAATGTCAGCATACTAGCTGAGGAGCCAATAGATAGAGGAAGCAACTTAAGGTCCAATAACTGCATAGCATAAATTTCTCAGCTTTGACCCAGGTGATGTTTAAAAATACGACTATTATAAAAGAGGCTTACAAGCTCTAATTGAATTTATCCAAGCATCATACTTGATTTTGTTTTTTTGAAACTCGTCCTCTGCTAGAACAAAAAGGTACATTAGTTTCTGTTACAATAAATTATAAGTAGAACAAACTAAAAATAAGCACCAAACAACGTCCGTAAACCATGTTCACAACTTACATATTAGTATCCATTAACAGTGGAAACTTTGACATCGTTTTCTGCGCTTTTTTTTGCAAAGTCAGATATCTTTGGCCCATTATGGCTCGTTTCTACATTTCCCTGCCAATTTTATAGTTCATAGAGAGAGGTTAATAAATAAACTCAATGCTGGCAAGCCAGGTAAAACATACACAGATAATCAAATGAATAAGATTGAAGTGAAAACTTCTAAACACAGTTTTGAAGAAGTAGGCTCCAATAACAAGTAAGAATAGGCAACGGACCTCTAATGAAATGGCAAAAGGATGGATGTTAGACTTCCAGATGCATAGCTTCAGAGCACATACACTATTACAGTTACCAACATAAAATCAGACTACAAGAAAAGCGTAAGTTTGACGGAGGCACCTTAAGACAATCAAAATACTCCTAAGCACAAATCCAAATCAAACTTAATTCAGTTAACCAAAGTCCATTAATTGAGACTTAAAGGCCCAAAACGCAAACATTACCACGAAATTGTGAGAGCCACCAGTACACGATTAAAGTCAGCCGAAAAGACATACGACGAGACAACATATTCGGCGTCGGTAGAGTAATGAGTGAACCGCGCAGAACCAGTCCACGTGCTCTGTACCTAGCAGCTAACACAATCTCGTGCGCATCTATGAAAACTCATTGCGATCGGTACAGTGACAAGGAACACAAGCCCGAGTCCCAAGATCAGCGGTGATCTTCAACAAAGACCTCTTTCCTTGTCCACAAACGATGGCGTTACGGGAGCGGAAGGACGAGAGATGAGCTCCTGTGATTGTGGTTTCGGTAGGGTAGGGGGTGGAGTGGATGGTGGTGGGACGGGTGGCGGGCCTTTGGGGACTGAGAAGGGACCGGAGCATGAGAGAGACAGAAGCAGGCAGGCGACTGACCGGCCCGTGAAACCTTCTGTTGCTAGAAGAAAGAGAGACGACCGGACGGAGAGACCCGCAGACGAACCGAGTCGAGCAGAGATAACCTCGAGAGAGAGGGACAGACAGAGATGAGAGACATGACTTAACGGAAACGATACACTTCATGAGATGGAGGAATGCACATTCCTTACTTATAATTCACCATGTATCTAAAATAACACTAAAGAAAAAAATTATTGTTTTTCCATGTCATATGTAATCTCAACCACTTAAAAGGGACTAATTAATGGCCACAAAATGTGTCAAAACTGTGTAAAAAATATGGGCCACGGATCCGCACCTATATCTATATATATATATATATAAAAATAAGTAGAAATATAGCAAATCGTAACCTCCAGTGTCAATCATTTAAGGACCCTCTAAGTTAGGCAAGTTTAAATATAGTTGGAAGAACCAAACTTTTCATTCAATCTTAAATTTCACCTATAGCAAATAGAAAAATCAACGATAAATGGTGAGCATGCAGCAAAAGGAGTAAGTTCCAAAAATCTCTTACCCACTGTCAATCATTTGGACATGGATCTGATATGAACACAAAAGCCATCAGAACCGTTCAACATACACGATAGAGAAATATGGAAAATCATCACAAACACCTTTTCCTCTAAAACCTTCTCTAAACGTGAAAGATCACAAAACCCAATCAAAGAAAGAATATAATACAAATAAGAAAGAAAGATATGTTAGGCTTACCACCTTCTAAACTTTCAGTTTGAAATCGCAGGGTTAATTCTTGGAGATGCTGTGTTCCTGGAGATGTTGGGAAGGAACCCAATTAATGAGAAATTTTATGAGGAAACCAAAACAACAGTAAAAGTAAAGGGGGAAAACATAAGGCATCAAATTAACCCACCCAGGGAAACCTGGGAAATTGGTGAAGCTGGCAAGGAGCGTTGTGGTTCTCTATTTTTCTGTCCTCTTTCTGTTTTTCACACTGTAAGAAGAAAGGCCTATGATAATTGGGTGTGAAGAAAGTGGGGGGCAAACTTAAGGAACTGCTACTGGAACTGCTCCTAGAACACGATGAGGCCGAAGAAACTGATAAGAAGAGCAACTGCTTGCAGTGAGGGTCTGTACCTTTTTTCTTTTCTTTTTAATTTTTTAAAGTATGCGTAATATTCTTTTACAATTATACCCTGATTTAATTAAAATTGGGTGCTTTTAATTTTTGTTTGATAAAGGGCATATTGGAATTTTTGAATGTTTCACCATTCTCTGTCTTTTTCTTTATTACCCCTTTTCCATTGATGTCTTCTTTTAGTTCCTCCAATTTTTGCACGAAACACTCTAGTGAGTAAGTCGGGACGATCTTGCGGCGTTTGTCCAGGGAGTAATTCTCTCTTAATTTCTTCCTAATTTGGGTTGCATGTCATGGTAATGAATAGATCTGGCCTGCCAAATCTTTGAACCAAAGTGATCGCATCTTGATACCGTTGGTACATGTCACGTGGGCTTCCAACAAAGGATGATGGCAGAATGGTTCTACGACCGATGACCGATGCTACCTGATTCATTGTCATTCCGCTTAATAAATGTTTTACACAAACCTGGAACTGTATCTTTATTATATATATATATATTTAAGTAATATATCTCTATAATACTTGAGAGACTTATATGAACTAGGAGGCATATAATGAAATCCAGGGGAAAATAGTGTTTTGGCTATTTCGACTGGATCAGAATGGATATCATAAATTGACTCAAGAACAAAAAATAAAACCGCGTGAGCGCACCAACATGAAACTTGGAGTTTATGGGGTGGTTTTTATACAACATATCAAACTTTTACCATAGGCAACATGAGGGCCTAATCCAATTGGAATGTATTCATACCCTTATTTTGGAATCTACATACGGCATGGTATACACTTGGAAATACAGTACATGTTAATTCTTCGTTGCGTGTATATGGTTTATTACTGACGTATTGGTGTTATAGTGCACTATATTGGTTTGCTATTGCCTCTCTATTGGGTTTGTAATGCTCTTTATTGGTTTTCTAATGCATGATATTGCAAGTATATTGGCATTGCAATGTAACCTGTGCATTATTTTCGGTTGGTACTGCTATTCTAAATTGTTTGTTTTATACTGTCTTCCGTATTGGTTTTGCAATGTCATTTGACAAGTGTACAAAGTTGAACTATGTGGAAGGTAATTACGTTATAATTCGGATCTGAAATGAATGCATCCAAATTACATCAACTGCTGTTTTAAAACTTCCAGCATACTTGATACAAAGAAGGCAACAGGAACAATCAGAATACAAAGGCCTCCTCAAACTGGCAGAATACAAAATAAAATAACATCCCAGCGTGAACTTACATAAAAGAAAATATTAAAAAACAAAACAACACAAAAAGGTGACCACAAACTTACTTAATACAATGTTAACAAAGATGGCACCTGAAGATTACATTATACATATCAAAACAAGAGGCCCCTCAAACTTATCTAATACAAAATAAATACATAAACAGGATTTCATCCGCACATAATACAAAAAGAGGCCAAGTCATACTTCCATTCCACTATACAAAGTTTGTCCTAAACCGTTGACATGGTCATATTACAAGTCATACCTTCTGTCTGTGGACACATTTCGAGTTGCATACCCTTCAAATGCGGCGACCGCGACCCATTAAATTCATGACCCCTCCCACAGTGATGTCCCACTTTCCTTCTGCATCCACAATTTTTGCAAACTTCCTAAATAGTTCGAAACCAGATGCAGTTGTTTTTGCTTCAACTGAGCCATTTCGCAGATTCCTTGAATACAAGAACTGCAGTGGCAGGGGCATTTTCAATTTTAGCTATGACAGCCTTTATATGTAGGAGATGCATCCGGGCTTCATAACGCGCCCGAATTGTGCGGTTTTTTTTATGATACCCCACCTAGCTTGGCCCTCTTTAATTTTTAACACTATGTCTGCATGGAGATTTTTCCAGAACATGGTATTGGCTCGACATTGCTGCAGTCCATGGACCCAGTCTTCAGTGTCTTCTGTTGCTGATTTCGCAGGTGTGTCATTGTCCCCTCCTTCAGTAATGGCAAGGGTTGGGTTTGGTGTGGGGTGTTTCGGTCCATGGGTGTTGGGTATTTATTGCGGGTTCGTGTGGGCATTAGCTTGCCCAAACTGGAAGTAATTGTGATGTGGGTGAAATTGTTGAGCAAGCAAGGGGGGGTTTGACGGAGTAAATGTGATGGAAATGTTGGGTGGATGTAGCTGGGTTACAATTAAATGGTGGGAGGTAATAATGAGCAGGAGTAAATGACAGTCAGCAACTGGCGGGAGTTATTGGCGGGAGTTGTTGGCTCCAATTTTTGGCAGGAGTGGTTGGCTCCAATTGTTGGCCAACACGTTACACTTGGGGTTTGTGTAATTAGGTTATTGGTTGGTGTTTGTTGTATGGGACCTTTGTTGTATTTGCAAATTATTCCTTTTGTCCTCTTTGACCAATTTCCCTCGTGTACCAAAAGTACAAATGTCCCAAAAGTACAAAATGTCCCAAATTTATGAGTACGGTCATTTGACAAAGTACAAATGCAGAGGTTTACAAAAAAGGACCATGAAAGTATATGTGTTTCGAATTTCTTTGTTGCTGTCTTCCAAATAACTGATGTAGATGAGTTCCATTTTTTAATATATCGGTAAAATCCGAATTGTGAATTTTGATATTTGCAAATAAGTTCATGTGTATTCCGCCCACTTGACGTTAACTTCCCCTTGAAATGTGGGTCGGGACTGTATATGACTGTTTTCGTGTAATTTAATTTTCTCATATGGACAAAATATAGTCTCGTCATTTGTAGGGAATACTGAATAATTTATAAACATTTGTGTATATTTCGTAAATTGATAATTAGGGAACTTGGTCGTCATTTGTAGTATTACTATGTCAGGACCTTGAATAGTAAGATAGTATACAGTTTTTTAGTAAGGTTGTGTTTATTGTGTATTCACAGTTATTTAGGTGTGTATATTTGTACGGCCAATTATTCCACCGTTGACATACCTTTATTCGTATTTGGTAAGGCTGTAATGAGCATCTTACAATGCTCTCATTAATTACAAAGAGGACAGGGTGCAGACTGACCTGCAATGACCAATTTGAAATAAGTATAAATACACAACTTCCTCTATATAAGAGGGTTTAACGTACTCATTGAATTCCATATCAAACATAGTACTCCATATATAGCAGAGAGCAAAGCTATACTAAAGCTCACCCTATTGTTGGTTACGAAGAAAAAAAAAACTACAAACTGAACCTAATGTTAAATGTTTTGCACGGTGCATGTGTGCAATTTCGCCATCCATAGTTGAAGATGGCAGACGTAATCCCTCCAAACGACCATGGTAGTTACCCGGGAGACCAGCCATGGCATGTCCCTTTCCCATCTCCACCTGGGACTCCAAATAACGATCCCACGTCATCTGGAAGTGAGGCTCACAACAATGATCCACTAGACAAAATTGCTGAAGTGAAGCAGGACCTCCAATATTTGTGTGCGGCTACGGATTGGTGGGAAACGAAATGTGATATTCATGGCCAGGTGATGGGAAACTTGACGAACAAGCTGAACAAAGCATATGCTAGAGAAGTGAAGCAAACAATGAAAGACAAAAGTTGGAGGGCAAAGTTAGAGTGGTTGAAGGTCAAATTGGAAGAAACAAAGAAAGATGTTGTGCAAAAATTCATTGAATCTGAAGAATTTAACCATGAAATGGTTGAATCTTTTAACAATGGGTTCGAGATGTTTCGAGATTATGCTTCCGTCATCTCACCAGACTACAATTGGAGCCAAATAGATGTTGCTGGTGTCTGGCAGGTGCTGAATAGCTGTGGCCAAGGAATGGCTGATCATAGCCTTGTGCATGCAGCGAGGAAGAAGAACAAGGACATGGATCTAATGATGGACCTGTAACCATTTGGATTTTGGTAGGGTCTGTGTAGCTGGGTCAGGGTAAGTACGGGTTCAAAGCATTTTGTGGACACGAAATGAATTTTGTATGAATGTGGTGCCTTGTTTACGCCGTCCACTTATTCTCACGGTTGAGTGGCAAATTACTAAGTTTGTATAAATGTAAAGTGCTCTGTACTGTATGTGTGCTTATTGTATGTTTATTGCCCTCATATTGGGAAGCATAAAGTACTTATATTGTTCGTGTATTGGTATATTATTGTCTCATATTGGAATCGTAGAATACTTATATTGTTGTTTTATTGCTTTTGTGTTGCTATTGTATTGTCTGATATTGTGATCGTAGGGTAGGTATATTGTGCTTTTATTGATGCTTTATTGATTGGCACCATAAAATATAGCTTCTCTATTTGAGTAATGGTGAAGAGGTACTGTAGCAAAGGTCGTAACGATGGCGGGTTTAGGAAAGTTTGGTGGTTCTGAAGCACGGAAATATCCATGGAAAAGATCGGAAAGATATCGATGCCATACAAACCACGGACAGTATACATACATGCAAATTTTTACGTGGAACAAAAATACAGTTATGAAAGGAAGAATTAAATACGAAATAAAAAAAAGGAGGGTGTTCATTTAAGTAAACAAGCAACAATTTGAAGGGATAGTAATTTCAGTACTTATAATGAACCTTCGAATTAAAGATGCAATAACATGAAATGGATTAAATAGGACAGAAATGAATGACATCAAGTAATAAAATATTTGAGCAACAATATAGAACACTAAGTAAATAATTTTTATTTTTCAAAACAGGTTCGAACACTTATAAATACCAGAGTCCATAGTCAGTAATCAAAAAGCGATGACTGCCGTTGTGGTTAAGTAGCTCAGAACCTAGAAGGGGGGGAAGGGTTTCATCCTCTGTGTGTGTGACTTCAAGTGAATAATGCTTTTTATTTAAAGTTCACATCACAATAGATTGCGATATTATAGATAATATCGCGATCTGTTGACCATGTGTAGCTGCATGTATACTTTCCCAAAAATTCTCTATATATCTATTCTATGGCGATGAGAACAATGAGCAATCATGAAGTACTACCAGTATCACAGTAATTGCGTAAGCTTTGCATTTGAAGGAGTTTTATGTACGAGATGCAATTGTAGTTAGCCTTCTAGGCCCTTTCATTTTGGACGCAACAAAAGGACAGCAGCATGACGCTAGTGTGAATATACAGACAGGAATACATGACGTTGTCTAGGAAAGGAAAGCAATTTATGCGAATTTGACTACAATCACAATAGAGAACACCAAATCAAATTCAATTCAATTTTCAAATCAAAGGTACATAACAAACGAATAGAAATGCTAATTTGAAACACACATTGGCCAGTGGAACATTGTTAATTTACAACTGGTTTCACTGTGGTGATGGCACTGTATGTTCACCAATTTCTACTAATAATAGGCTCTCATTGCAAAGGACTTGTTACCTTGTTCCATATGCTTCACATGACCGTTGAGTGGACCGACTTCCATCCCTGCAGCATCACCGAAGCTATTCATCAACTTCGCAGTTGACCAAAACAGAGGTAGAAACTAAACAAGTGTAACATCTACGCAACGTGCTGCTTGTTGGTGAGAGGGACAGATTGTTTGCATGTACTTCGGTAGTGGCCCTTCACACCACACCTTGAGCATTTTTTTTGACGGGACTCCTCTCCTTTAGAAGCTATTCTTTGCGTTTTGCGATGGCCAGGCATAACCTTACAAAGAGGAGGAGGATTTTGACCTTCTTCAAATTTTCGAGAATAACCCACGTGCCTTCAGGTGGTATAGGATAAATAGATTCAGCATATGCAGCTGCCCATGTAGCTCGTGTATAATAAGAAGAGGCAAAGGAGTAGGGGTTCAATTTCAAGTGCCGACATACAGCAATAGCGTGCTTGCACGGGAGTTGCTCCAAGTCAAACTTCCTGCATGTACAACTACGGTTTTGCAAGTGCACCAGACCGTTCAAATCACCATCCAGAACATTAAACTCGACATTATTGATTTTGACCACATTCATCCTTGACGCAGCGTCTAACCTCTTCCTTAACTTTTTTTCCCCTAAATCAGGGCACAACGTAGAATGAGATTTCATTGCTAACTCTCGACGTTGCCTAAACCAAAAGAGAAGTAGATTTGTAATTTCGTCAATTAAGTGTAGCACCGGAAGCATCCTTGCAAACCGAAGAACTGAATTAATGGACTCCACAATATTCGTTGTCATCACATTATATCGTCGTCCATCACAATGGGCCCGAGACCACTTCTGGACGCCTGCACGTAGTAAATAAGTTCGCACCCTGTCATTGTTTATCCTGGAAAAGTGATGATTGAACTCTGCTAGACGATAAGACTTAGCTGCCCTTACAAAATACCCCAATATCGGATCCCACTGCTTCAACTTAAATGAGGCTTTGATATTGCCTTTCAAGTGATAAAAGCAAATACCATGTTTCGCCCCAGGAAAAACTCTACGCAACGCATTTTGTATGCTAACCTTGCGATCTTATATGACAACGAGATTCGAGCAATCACCAATTGCACAATGTCGTTTTCTCAAAAACCACTCCCAAGCTGCATCCGTCTCCAAATCTCCAATCCCAAATGCAACAGGATATATGTTCTGATTTCCATCAAATGCGGTCACAACAAACAAAACACCTTTATACTTGCACTTCAAATGGGTAGCATCAACAGCAATCACGGGCCGCATTGACGACTTAAATCCTCGTATGCATGCACCAATTGCCATAAAAAATTATAAGAAGTGATCAGCTACATCAGTCTCAATGTATGTCAAAGTTCCGGATTTGTACGCTCCAATTCATAACAATAGGAAGGGAACTAATTCTTTTGAAAGCTAACTCTCGGCTTCTCCACGCTGTAGAGTAGCTTATGCTCACGCCGAAATTTTGTTTCACATCTTTCTTGATATCAGCTGTTGTATAAATGCTGCGCGAATCCTGAAATCTCCACTTAACACAGTCAGACAGCAATTCAGTCGTAGCTTGAGGATGATGACTACTGACATACCTTAGATCACATTCATGAAGTGGATCGTATTTAACAACCTTAAACTCATGTAATCCAACTTTATATGCCCGAACTTTCCAAGGGCAAGGAAGCTGCCAACAGCGAACACACAACCGATGCTTCCCAGATTGGACAGTTCTCAATCGAAAGTGGCTTGTAATTGCTGCTAAAACTGATGGTTTTTAAAAGGGCAATCTTATTTGGATAAACTCGGCCAACCTTCAAATTTGCTTCCCAATTTATGCACGAAACGCCTCCACCATACTGAATATATTCCAAACTTTGACCATGCTTCAAATCACCCCGACTTGTATGCATTTCAGTCGAACTTGATTGTCGGGGAGGTTCGGATTGCACCTGTCTACACTGCACAGTGGACGGTTCGACATTGCTGTCCTCATGAGGATGCAAAATCGGAGCAGATTGCGGTTCCTCTTCGTTGCTAGGTTCATTGAAATCAGCAACTATGTTTTCACCACTTTCAAAATTCACTTCTTCAACCCAATCACTCCAATTAAAATCATTCCCACCATTTTCAGTTTCATTGTCCCGAATTACCACATTTCTTTGTTCCACAACAAAGTCAGCAGGAGCATTGCTACTCTCAACGCTTACAATGCCATTGCACCCTTCAATACCATGACCTTCAATATTTTTCAAGCTTGCTACTAAAGGGGTTACTTTAGAGGCCATAACATCTGTGTTGTACTTTACAAAATATTTAACATCATCATTGTCTTCAACCCTTATGTGCTTACAGAGGATACAGGAACTGAATACTTCAGTGTGACAATATATTTCGTGGGATCTGCATCCATGATCTTATAAATGCGCTGAACAAGGTCGGAAAACGTTACGTTCCGTGACACTATTATGCCTTTAGCCTCCTCACCTTCGTAACTATCAATGTTATCCTTCTTAACCCAACTTCCATTGTAGCATACCAATATTCCAACAGTATCCATTTCTGCAAATAACATAGATAGTTACTACAGCAATGAATAAAACTAAAAAAGATACATTCAAACAAATAAAAACATACACAACAATCATTCCACTACACGTATCATTTTATAAATCCTCAAATCTTCAAAACTCAAATTGTAGCTGCTTCAACAAGGAACTTTTATTCATTTATGTCTTTTCTCTGATTTTGTACATAGCTGTGGGTTCCAAGTTATTAACAAACTCATATAAACATACCATGGCAGCAATATGAACCCTCTAACCTCTAACAAATGTAAACAACTTCAACAAAAGGCTCAGGTTGTGATACAAAACATATTATGTGGTATAAGCTCAATTACCAAATTGGAAACCAAAACACACAAACTTTACTTCTTACCAAAACAAACCCAGAATGCCAATAAATTCCCCACATTAGCATCTACATTCAGCCTAAAACTACCCTAACAAACCTACTTTTAGGCCAGACACAGTTAACATATGATTTTTCTGTGTGCTGTTATTTTGCCCATTATCAAACACATTGCACTACATTATACAAGCATTCGGTCAATTTTAACCAAAATTCAAGTTTACCACATACATCCCACTGCAGATAACAACACAAACTATGAATTTCAACATATCATAACGCCTTCAAACTGAAAATTGAAGCTCTTCGGCCCTTCTGTGGTGAAAAGGGGTTGCACGATTTTATTATACACATACACTACCAAACCAATATCTGAACTCACCTCCGTTCACGACGACGCTGGAAGTCGCCACTTTCGCTTCTCTGTGGAGTCGCAACAGTCACTTCGATCTGGAGGTCAACAATGGAGGCGGTGCGTTCCGCCGGCTCCGCTACGGTCAAACTAGGGTTCGAAAGTTTAGGACATCTGGGTTGTGACTATGGATGGCTTGCGAACTGGATTGCTCAGTGCCAAAATGTCTCGCAACCTAGAGTTCCCCCATTTTTGGCAAACTGCGAAAACAGAGAAGAAAGAGGCGCTAAAGGGTTGATACATCTGCTTTTATATGGAGGGCACTTTGGTCATTTCACGTCTCCAAGTGATTATATTAGAATACAATTTGTAGCCTGATTATTTCAGCACACTATTTCTGAATTATGATTACACCAGCTTATTCCCTAGATTTTTGGAAGAGAATCCTGCAACATGAGATTAGGAGCAACATCAAAATCGGGGTAATTACAATTTAGCAAAAACAAAATAAAACAGAGGAAAACAAAACCCAAAATTAAAAACATGTAACCAATTGGACATTTTTATTTGGGTGGTGAACACAAATAAGAGTGGACATGATATCCATACTACATGAACACAAACATTGCATAATTTTGAAGATGAAACTCATAGTTTTCAAGAAATAGGTATTGACTAAGAAGAAAAGAAATATACAAACATGAAAATGTAGAAATGATGAGCAAACAAAGAAATCAGTACACAAAAAAAAATAGAAAGAGAATAAGGAATAGGGAGGCAATCATGAATTATACCTTTAAAGCGAAGAATGGTTAGACAATTTGGACGAATGACCGCTTCTCGTATTTGGATTTCATACCCAAGCTCTCCTAAAACAATCAAAATTTCATGGAAGCTTGAGATTAAATCAGGGGAAAAAAATAGAAGAAAGAGAGCAAAAAACATGTAGTAGTAGAGCCAAGTCGAATTTTGTGAAGGAATTTTGAGGGAACCAAAAAGAATAAAAAATGTCAATAAAACAAAATGAAGAAACATTAACCTGAAAGTTATCTTTGCTTCTTTGGTTCTAGTTATCTTTGCTTCAATGATTGCTTATACTTCAAAGAGGAGAGAGACGATTGAATCTGTTGAGATAAAATTCCAAAGTTTCAAATAATATGCAAAAACCAAAATTCTACATTTTGAACCAACAATATGCAGAGAAACAAAAGGATGCTAGTAAAGTGGAGGAAGAAAATATAAGTAACATGGTGGTGATGGGTTCTGAAATTGTGGAAACCGTCAGCTTTGTGGGTTCTGAACATGAGGAATTTTTCCCCACGTCCTTCTGCTCTTCTACTTTGAGTCAAACAGAGCAGAGTATGACTGTATTTTGTACACGACTCCATTTTGCTTTTTTTTTCTTTTTTTAAAATCAATGGTGTTTTACTATTTCACCCTCTTTTAATTAAAATTGTGTGCTTTTAATTTTTTGTAAACATTCTGGGTTGTTCTAGAAAAGAGATTACGAAGAAGACAGAACATCATGGAACACCTTCAATACAATAAGTCTAGAACCAAAATACGTGAAGAAATCTATTAAAACTTTTTAATTTTCATAAGTCATACCTAAAGCAATTGGATGACTGCCTAACTCTGATTCGTACTGAAAAAAGTAAATAAACAGTTATTAGAATGAAGTACAACCACCACATACCTCCAACCAACCAACTTGAAGCAAATGCAATTTAGGTAAGCAAAAGCAGAGATCGAGAGATAAGGAAATTTGTTAATTTCATAACAATATCTAGAAGACACAATGTGAAACTATAAATCTCCTTCTACTCACTACAATGGGGTTGGCTTAACCAACAAAGTAAGAAAAGAAATGCTAACCAGAGATGAAAAATATGTTCAATTGTTGAAACAAATACCACTAAGTTCCGAATCCAAGGTTTTGGCAACTACCCACTAAAAAATCCAACACAAAGCAGTGGCTAGTGTGGAAACCCCTACATCTATTAGCTGGAGAAACAAAGGAAAGCGACAGAAAACAGAATCAAAATTCTTACTTTATAAATTACCATAAAGAACTTTTTTTTGTGTGTGTAGATACCATAAAGAACTTAAGCAGACCAAGTGACATGGTCTATTATATGAGAAATTCAAATATCACAACAAAAAACAGATTCAAAGAAGAACAAAATTGAGCAAATTCCAAGCAAATTCCAAGTGGACCATGAGTTGCAACCATGCAGTATCATACGTTGCTTATAAATAGCAATCTGTGAAAATAAAAGATGTCCAAAGCAGAGCAGTCAATGAAGAAGTAAATGCTCACTTTGCGCATTCACTCAATTTCCCTGTATTCTGGCTCTCAACGATCTTCAGAATCAATGACTTGTTCTCGTCCAAATACTGCAGTAAAATTTAATGAAATCATGAACAATTAATTTAAACCATATATATATATATATAATCAAAGAAATTCCATTAGGATAAAAAAAAATTAGAGATTAGTCATAGTAAATAGAACAAAAAGAGGAAGACATGGTCTAATATATGAGAAATTCGAATATCACAACAAAACACAGATTCAAAGAACAACAACATTGAGCAAGCATATTGATGAAATTACTTCATGGAATTATTTCATCGACTCTTAAGCTACATATTTTTGGGGAAAATCACAGCTAATCAGTAACAACAACATTGAGATTCAAAGTGATTAACTGGAATTTAGAAACAAAGGAAAATGCCATAAAACAGAATCAACATACTGAGGAATTTAATTGTCAACCAACCTGTTGCCAAGTATCTTCACAGGTCTTCCTTGCATAAAAAAACTAAAGTCATTGACAGGAAAATAAAGAAACCATTTGGCAAACCAAAAACAAAACCAAAATGAGAGAGAGAGATTCATACCATTCACATCAAACCCATCAAATCTAAATGCTCTTCATTGGTGCTCTGGAGAAAGAGCATATATAATCAAAAATTAGAGATAGTAAACAGATCAAACCTAAATGCTTTCTTCATTGATGCTTCGCAGGAAAAAAAAATAAACAAAGAGCAGAAATTGAAGCAAAACTTCCATCAGGAACCAAAAATTAGAGGGAGAGAGAGAGAGAGATTCGTACCCGCTCTGTAGAAAGAAGATTCATTGAAGAAAAAAAACTAAAAGGAACTGTTGTGTAATGGCATGAGGATATTGGGTCGTGTGGGAAGTGTTAAAACTGACATGAACTGCAGCAGATTTTAGTTGGTTTTTCAATTTGTTTTTTAATTTGTCTCTGCGTCCTTCAGTTCTTCTTCTTTTCTAGGCAACCGTTGTTCGTGGGTACCGTTCTTCACCCTTCGCCCTGTGGTAGCACAGCACGACTCTCTTTTTTTTTTTTTTTTTTTTTTTTTTTTTTTATTGATGTAGTTTACTGATTTTTTACCCTCTCTTAATTAAAATAGTGTGCTTTTAATTTTTTTTCTTTGACAAAGGGCATTTTCGGGGTTTTTGAATGTTTCACCATTCTCTGCATTTTGCTTTATATACACTAGCCTCTCTGCACGCGCTTCCAAGCACGCGAGAGGCTTTTAAAAAAAAGAATTAAATTTATTTTAGAATTAAAAAAGATAATGGATAGTTATGTTCCATAAAAATAGGATTCATTATCTAATTTTTCTTTTAATTTTAAAATTTTTAAAATATGAAATATGTGAATTTACCATATTATCCTCATTTAATTAATAATTTTAATCATTAATGTTTGGATTAACCAATGGCATTTTCTGGTATTTTGAATGTTTTACCATTCTCTACCTTTTGCTTTATATATATAGATATACTAGCCCCTTGGCACATGCTCATACATGTGCTAATTGGTTTTATTTTTTATTTTTTATTTTATTTTTAAAATTAAAAAAAAGATAATACTGGTAGTTATGTCCCATAAAAGTAGGAGCTATTATCTGATTTTGTTTTTAATTTTAATATAAAAATGCAAATTTACCATATTATCCTCATTTAATTAATAATTTTAATTCTTAATGTTTGAATTAACTAAGGGTATTTTATGGTATTTTGAATGTTTCACCATTCTCGGTCTTTTGCTTTATATATATAGATATACAGTCCCATTCTCTTGAACCCCAGGGGTCCAAGAGACTTATGGTCACCCATCCTTAGATTTAATCCAAGGGTTGAGAAAAATTTACTTTAAAATATCTTTTTTCTTTTATATTTCACTTAACAAAAAAGGAAAAAACTAAAAACTAAAAACCCAAAATCTGTTCTTCTTCCTCCTGCTACCTCCGCGTTCTGCTTCCTCCCATCGCTGCAGCCACAACAACTCCGACTCTGGCGTAGCGAGCGAAAATCCGGAGCACTCATTCCCTCGCACTTCAACAAGGTCAGTTTCTTGTTCTTCAAAAGTTTTTCACTCAATTTTTTTATTTGAAATCATGAACCCATATATGGGAATTTTAATTGGGTTTCTGTTATTTTTCATTTTGGAAGTTTTGTAACTATTCCTTGTACGCCTAGAATTTCAATTGGGTTTGTGTTATTTTTTATTTCAGAACCACTAGAACAAACATGAATCTCAATCTAGGGTTCTTCCATTCGAGTTTTTCCTTTGTCAAACGTGAATCTCAATATGGGGTTCTTGCAACTATGCAGTTTGTTACTGATTGTGAAAATCTGATTTTTTTTTTCTTTTTCCAGACCTTTATTTATTTATTTCTTCCATTCGAGTTTTTTCTTTGTTTATTACATATGTTTGTACTAATTTTCTTATTATACATTTAAGTGCAGGAGTGATGGCAAATGCATTAGATGAATGGATGTTTTCTAAAGATGAATTTTATATCCCTCAAGTTAGAGATGACAAAAAAACAGAAAGCAGGGCTAGCATTCAAGTCATTGGATGAAACATACGAGTTCTACAATGATTACGCAAAGGATGCTGGATTTAGTGTCAGGATTAGTAAGGAGAAGAAAAAGAAAGAAACATGTGAGGTTTTTTGGAAACGATACGTTTGTTTTAAGGAAGGTGAAACAGATGAGACGTGGAGGAAAAAAAAAGACAGTGAGTCTACACAAATAGAAAGAGAACGAGGTAATGTTCGTGAAAATTGCAAAGCAACGTTAACAGTAGTTTATGATGGGTTCAATTTTGTAGTTAAGACTTTCATTGAGGAACATACTCATCCACTTGCAACACCATCTAGAGTACACTTGTTAAGATCTCATCGTGGTGTATCAGATACAAAAATAAAGTTGATGAAAAAGTTTTCCAATGTGAACATTCCATTATATCAACAATTCGAACTCTTGGAGACACAAGCTGGTGGACATAAAAGTGTTGGGTTCATAGAAAGAGATTTAAGAAATTTTGCGCAAGATGAGAGGGAGAAAATAAAGGGTCATGATGCAGAAATGTTATATGAGCTTCAAATCGGAGGAAGATAAGGATTCCAATTTCTTTTTTAAGTTTGAGACATATAATATCAGGAATGAGAGGTGAACCAACAAAGCCTTTCTCCATGCTTCTGATTTATCAATTGATGGCAAAGGTGCCCATAAAATCAAAACTGAACACATTTGCACTTAACACCAGCTTCGTCAGCTCAGCTAGGCTTGCTTTTCCGCCTACTCCCAATTTGTAGAATCTGTAAGAGTCATCCAGGCTTGATTTTCTTTCAAAGTTTTTATCCTCTCTAACTAATTTCATATTTTCTTTGACCATGAGAGGACTTGTTCCATTTCCTTCCCTCTCTATTGCTAGAAACACAAAAGGAGTTCATTCATTTATAGACTTTTAGAATGCGGCAAGATCAATTAACTATCAGTAAAACAAAATTCATTTATAACATTCAGTTATCAATTACATACATATGAACACCACAACAAATATCATAGTTGTAAAGTAATAAACTTCTCTCTTGTAAAGGAGCTTCGAATTAACCAAATTCAACCAATTATAGGCAGTTTTTTTAATAGTGGTGATTTCCCCACTCCTTTTTCTCCTATTTTATCCACTTACACTCCTTTTTATAACTAAAAAAGGAGTGTAAGTGGATAAAATAAGAGTGGGGAAATCATTGCCCTTTTTTAATCATATTATATACCTATAGGAATTCAACCAATTCAAACCAACCAATTACACGCTTTGATATGGTTGGGAGAAAAATAAAAACCTGGTAACAGAGAAGGAACACAAATCTCTCAGAAACTACAGGACAATTCACTAGAGTGAAAACTTGACTTGGACATTTTCTATGCTAGAGAATTGAAAGTAACCAATCATATATTAAGATGCTTACAAGGGTTTCCCAATTCATTCCCAATTTCTAGAAATCAAAGGGTTTATTCTTTTCCCAACTATAGACTAATATTTGTTCAGATGTGTACAAGGAATAGTTACAGTACTTCCAAAATAAAAAATAACAGAAACCCAATTGAAATTCCCAAATATGGGTTCATGATTTCAGATCCAAAAATTGAGTGAAAAACTTTTGAAGAACAAGAAACTGACCTTGTTGAAGTGCGAGGGAATGAGTGCTCTGGATTTTCGCTCGCTACGCCGGAGTCGGAGTTTGTGGCTGCAGCGATGGGAGGAAGCAGAACGCGAAGGCAGCGGGAGGAAGAAGAATAGATTTTGGGTTTTTAGTTTTTAGTTTTTTCCTTTTTGTTAAGTGAAATTTAAAAGGTGAAAGAAAAAATATATTTTAAAGTAAATTTTTCTCAACCCTTGGATTAAATCTAAAGGTGGGTGACCATAAGTCTCTTGGACCCCTGGCGTCCAAGAGAACAGGACTGTATAGATATATTCTTCTATTTACTAAAGTTTCTCTGTAATTTATTAGATTTTGTCGGATTTAAATTTTACTTATAAGTTTTTCGCTTCTGAAAGATAAATGATATTATTATATATTAGTTTCTCTAGTTTCACAGGTCCCAAATTTAGGCGTATCGATACACAAGGCGCACTCCAACTCAAGTTCTCAACCCTAATCGCTAAAATCCCTCATCTCAGTTGAGATTATTTCTGAAACAGAAAAACGCTCCAACCGTCAGCCACGAACAATCCGCCCATCTCAACCGTCAACTCCTCCATTGTTCGACGCCGTCTTTCTCCCATATACATATTGCTCAGCTCTCCTCTCTCTCTCGACAGTGACAACGGTTGATGCGCAACCATCGATCTCATCTCATCCCAAGTATGATGTCTTACTGCAATATATTCTAATCCTGGACCCCATCTCATCACAGATTTAAGATCCACTGAACCCCCACCCTCTAGCAACGATCAGTTTCCTTGATTTTGTTTCATATTTCTTTTTTATTCTCTTCCGTTTCTTATTTCCAGGGTTTTAGTTGAATTATTTTTGGCATTCCAAGTTTACTTTATTATTAGTTGAATTAACTCTCCAGATCCTCCTGGTATGCAATTTTAGATTTAAATTTCATATTTTGGTGGGCGAGTTTGAAGTTGTAGAAATTGTTTCTTTATTGTGATAATGAATTTTGAACTTTATGCTACTGATTAGAAGTATATAGCAATGATCTTCTCATAAATTTTGAACTTTCCGTTGATATGAATTTTTTGTGTCGAATATGAATAGGGCCTGTGCAAGTTCATATCATACGGTTTTTTTTTGTATTGAATATGAATAGGACCTCTGCAAGTTCATAATGGCTGCCACGGACGATGGTTTGAAGAAGCTCGAGTACCTTTCCTTGGTTTCCAAGGTCTGTTCAGAGCTCAAAACCCATATAGGGGTTGGGGACAAAGTTCTGGCGGAGTTCATCACTGAGTTGGGACGAAACTGAGAGACGGTGGATGAGTTCGACACCAAATTAAAGAAAAAGGGTGCCGAGATGCCCGATTACTTTGTCCGTACACTCCTCACTATCATGCAAGCTATTCTTCCACCGAAGCCAAAGCCTGAGAAGGACTCGAAGAAAGAGAGCGCTTCTGATGGTAGGAAGACCAAGTTTAAGGCTTTGGCCGTCGCCAATAATAAAGATAGAGTCAAGGACATCGAGAAGGAAATTGAGATGGAGACCGAGGAAAAGTGAAACAGAACCGAAGAACAAGATGAAGAGCAAGAAGAAGATAGGCGTAGTGGTAGCGATAGATATAGGGAAGGAGATAGAGATAGAGATCGAGATAGACACGGAGGAGGTGGAGATAGAGACGGGAGGGAAAGGCAAAGGGAAAGGTATGATAGAGATGAGAGGCATAGAGATACACATTATAATGTTGATGGTGACGACAGGGGAAGGCGTACAGATCGATACAATAAGCATAAGAGAGATGGGTATGAAGACAATGGAGATGTTAAGGAAGATGGTTATGATAGGAGAGGTAATAGGGATCGGCAGAATGGCCAGAACCATTCAGATGAGCCCGAATTGTATCAGGTTTATAAGGGCAGGGTTTCGAGAGTGATGGACACCGGTTGCTTTGTTCAGTTGAATGATTTAAGAGGGAAGGAGGGTCTGGTTCACGTTTCACAAATGGCAACTCGGCGAATTAGCAATGCTAAGGATGTGGTGAAGAGGGATCAGGAAGTTTATGTGAAGGTGATTTCAATTTCAGGTCAGAAGTTGAGCCTTTCAATGAGGGACGTTGATCAACATACAGGGAAAAGATTTGCTCCCCTTGAAGAAGAGCTCAGAGGATGATGCTCTTAGGACGAACCAAAGGATGGACCTGTGACTAGGACTGGTCTTTCTGGGATTAGGATTGTGGAAGAGGATGATGTTGGCCCATCACGCCGGCCATTGAAGAGAATGAGCTCGCCGGAGAAGTGGAAGCCAAACAGTTGATTGCCTCAGGTGTTTTGGGTGTTACAGAGTATCCTATGTATGATGAGGAAACCGATGGGATGCTTTATCAAGAAGAGGGAGCTGAGGAAGAGCTTGAGATTGAGCTCAATGAGGATGAGCCAGCCTTTTTAAATGGACAGAGCAGGTATTCTGTTGATATGTCACCTGTGAAAATCTTTAAGAATCCAGAAGGGTCACTAGGTCATACAGCTGCTCTTCAGTCTGCACTCATTAAGGAGCGTAGAGAAGTGCGTGAGCAGCAGCAAAGAACCATGTTGGATTCTATCCCAAAGGATCTCAATCGTCCCTGGGAAGATCCAATGCCAGAGGCTGGTGAGAGGCATCTTGCACAAGAACTTAGAGGTGTTGGTTTGTCGGCATATGATATGCCTGAGTGGAAGAAGGATGCTTTTGGGAAAACCATCAGTTTTGGGCAGAGGTCTAAACTCTCAATCCAGGAACAGAGGCAGAGCTTGCCTATCTACAAGCTGAAGAAAGAATTGATTGCAGCGGTGCATGAGAACCAAGTGCTTGTTGTCATTGGTGAGACTGGTTCGGGTAAGACAACACAGGTAACGCAGTATCTTGCAGAAGCGGGTTACACGACAATGGGTAAGATTGGTTGTACACAGCCACGTAGGGTGGCTGCCATGTCCGTGGCCAAGAGGGTTGCTGAAGAGTTTGGTTGTCGTTTAGGAGAGGAAGTGGGCTATGCAATTCGTTTTGAGGATTGCACTGGTCCAGATACTGTCATCAAGTACATGACTGATGGTATGCTTCTTAGGGAGATTTTGATTGACGAGAACCTTTCTCAGTATTCTGTGGTCATGCTTGATGAAGCTCATGAGAGGACAATCCACAAAGATGTTCTTTTTGGACTACTGAAGAAGCTTGTGAAGCGGAGACCAGACCTTCGTTTGATTGTCACATCTGCTACTTTGGATGCGGAGAATTTTTCCGGTTATTTCTTCAACTGTAACATCTTCACTATCCCTGGGAGAACTTTTCCTGTAGAGATACTCTACACTAAACAGCCGGAAAGTGACTACCTTGATGCATCTCTAATAAACTGTTCTACAAATGCACTTGACAGAACCTGAAGGTGACATCCTTCTTTTCTTGACTGGACAAGAAGAGATTGATTTTGCATGCCAGTCTCTTTATGAGAGGATGAAATGTCTTGGTAAAAATGTCCCTGAGTTGATTATCCTACCAGTGTATAGTGCCCTTCCTAGTGAAATGCAGTCAAGGATATTTGATCCTGCCCCACCTGGTAAGAGGAAAGTAGTTGTGGCTACTAATATTGCTGAGGCATCACTGACCATTGATGGGATATTTTATGTCATTGATCCTGGTTTTGCAAAGCAAAATGTTTATAACCCAAAGATTCACTGGTTATAACTCCAATTTCCCAAGCATCAGCCAAGCAACGAGCTGGGCGTGCTGGGGCGTACAGGCCCTGGGAGATGTTACCGCCTCTACACTGAGTGCATACCGCAATGAGATGTCCCCTACTTCAATTCCAGAAATCCAGAGGATAAATCTTGGGACTACTACACTTACGATGAAAGCTATGGGGATAAATGATCTCGTCTTTTTGATTTTATGGATCCTCCTTCACCCCAAGCACTCATTTCTGCCATGGAACAATTGTACAGTTTAGGAGCACTGGACGAGGAGGGGCTGCTCACCAAATTGGGTAGGAAAATGGCTGAGTTTCCTCTGGATCCACCCTTGTCTAAGATGCTACTGGCCAGTGTGGACCTTGGATGCAGTGATGAGATCTTGACCATCATTGCAATGATTCAGACTGGTAATATTTTTTACAGGCCTAGGGAAAAACAAGCCCAGGCAGATCAGAAGAGAGCCAAGTTTTTCCAGCCAGAGGGAGATCATCTGACTTTACTTGCAGTCTATGAGGCATGGAAAGCTAAGAATTTTTCAGGGCCATGGTGTTTTGAGAACTTTGTTCAATCTCGATCCTTGAGGAGGGCACAGGATGTCAGAAAACAGCTTCTCAGCATCATGGACAAGTATGTTCTTCTAATTTATCTTGATGTGTATTCGTGGTTGCATGCATCTTTTTTTCTGGTTTCAGATGTGCATGAATGGTTTTAAAAGATGTAGATTAATGTTCTAGGTTTGCTCATGTTTGGTACATGGTATTTTGCAGTAGTCGTGAATTAGGCATGCCTTTTGCTGTCTGTACTTGATGGAAATGCTGAAATATTGTTCAGGCCTAGTTTGTGTTTTAAAATCTAGATATATGGTACCTGAGCAGCGAATAGGTCATTACACATTGTCATGTTGATGTTACTACATACACTGTTTTCAGAGCATTATTAGCAGAAGTGCTTTTTTCCACCATTTTTCAGTGGCTAAGTATAGTATCTTTATAAATTACAACTACTCTTGTGTATAGCTAAATTGCCAGTATATGCTCTTCAAATGTGCTCTCTTGTGCGGACATCTTAGGCATTTTGATACCGCAATGTGTTTTCTTGGTATAGTGTTGTTTGTACAAAATATTGCAAAACTGTTTTAAAAGTTGATATGGAAATTCAGATGGCATATTACACATCCTACCATTGCCGTTAACAGTTTTCATTGATTGACATAGCATTGTCATGTAAGCTCTAGGATAAGTTTGTGTATAAAAACCTAGCATAAATTTGTCATGCCAATGTCTCTACTAGCACCCTTGCTTATAACAGTGATCAACGATTTCTAAGTTGAGTATTCTGATTTGAAGATGAAATTGCATTCTGACTATAGATTGTGAATTTCAGATATAAACTAGATGTTGTCAGTGCTGGAAAGAATTTTACAAAGATCAGGAAGGCAATTACGGCAGGGTTTTTCTTCCACGGTGCTAGAAAGGACCCGCAGGAGGGTTATAGATACCATGAACCTAACTCTTGGTGTCTTAGTAAGAGACGTGCTTGATGTGTGTGTCATCTGCTGCTTTTGGTTTTTCTGTATGGATTCAATGTGAATATCTTGTAATTACTTGAGCTAATTTTGACATTGAGTGCACAAAATTTGTGTGGCTTCATTACTTTTTAACATCCTCGTGAAATTCCTTCAATGTCGCAATAAGGGCCTCATCAATTGCTTATTTTCCTTACTGCAAGCAAGCTAGGGGTTTATGTCTTGATTTCTACTTTAGGAGATACTAGTTGTTCCGTTCTCTGGACAATGAATTGTTAGGAAATGAAAGAAACAGTGTATTCTTGAATGTATTAAGACATTCATATTTGATGTATTTTAGTATTCAAATATATATGCCCTTCTCTGCTCCTAGTTTGTTAGCATGGTCTGGGTTAACCCCCAAGAAGTTGAAGAATCAGTTATCAAATATCTTTGTACTGATAAATAAACCATCTAGTTTATAACGTCTTTCAGAGACCAACAAGTTTAGTGTCAAGAAAACTTGGGGCTGATAACTGTAATAATAGTGAGGAGGGAGTTAGTGTCAAAGCATGTGGTGTACCTGCTAAAATTGGTGGACAGTACTTTCCCAACCAAATTTGAACTTATTTAGCCACTATCAAGCTGACCAACAAGTTTATGAAAACCAGCTTCATCTGGGTCTGGCCTATCAAGTTTTTTGTTTGTTTTTGGTTACAAGCAATATTGGGAGGAGGGAATCACATTAGGACCTTGAGTGCAGGGATAGATGCTCTTAATCGCTTGAGCTACAAGCCTCTTGCGAGTATTTGGGTTTGCCTACCAAGTTTTCATTATGGCTCTACAAATGTTGGTAATATCCAAGAGAAAGCAGTGATTGGCCTTCAGGCCTTGATGGAATTGAATATGATGGAGCCTTTATGCTACACAACACTATATATCTGCAAGTAATGGGCAAGAACTTGAACATTTCTACAAACTGAAAAGAGAGAAAATGCTTGTGATTGCTTTTCCAGGAAGACCTTCAATCTTGTACTCCACACACAAGATTTAGCACACATTTTATACATAAACTTTGGTACAAAGCATTTTGCAGCTCACAAGTAAGCCTAACAAATACAAAAAGTCTGTCTACAAAAAGGCATCTTCTACCATGTGCCCAGAATAAGATGTTGAATTATGAAAGGAAAGAATGACCAAAACAGAGCCACACATTTACAAGGAGAAGCTGACCCCCAATTTACAAGGAGAAGCTGTATGTTGCAAATAGATGACCAAAACAGAGCCACACGTTGTAATTTGAAATCAAGTCCTCTTTGGCTTTGGCTTAGTTAATTAAAATAACACTACAGCTGGAATTAATACATTAATCGGAGTGAGCTTGGATTAAAATGTTAGTGGAGTTTTGCTCACTGTTCTTGCTTATTTGTATGATTTATTGTTTGCAAGAACCCTCCTCTAGGGCAATGTTCTTCATGTATATTTTATAATTGCCTCTGTTATGATTGGATCTGAATAGATCTGTTTATTTCTCTCAATAAACAAAATAAAATAAAAAACATCAATTGGAGAACTTTGAATTAATTGTTCTGACAAGTAATTAACACTAATATAAATCATATTTATTCCTACTAAGCACTCCAACTTAACTCGTAAACTCTTCTCCAGATACCTGTGCGTGCGCATACTAGCAATCTTCAACACTTGAATTGGAAGGAGGCATTCAGCTACAGCTACTTTTCTCCTAATTTAGATGCTGCAGCTAAATATCAAAGTAAACAAATTAATACCCATCAGTTTGGAGAGAAGAAAAAATGCAATAAGAAAATAATTATAAAACGAAATTAATGATGAGAGAGAAAGAGTACCGTCGCGAGCTTATCTATTAAGCATATGCTAACTTCAGTTGCCGCTTGATCAAAGCTATCCTCACATAAAGCCAATCATTTAAACCATTCAAGAACTTCAAGTATGCGTATCTCCATGACCTGTTGAATATCAAAGTGCCACAAACTCCCCAAAATCCAGCAGCAAAGCCAAGCCCCATACTGATGTAAAATCCTAGTGTTATAAGCTCATCCTTATCCTCTTGATTGCTCAAGTCAGTTTTCTCATTTTGATCGGCACACATCTTTTTAAGCGGAGGTCCACAGAGTTGAGGATTTCCAACATAAACAGAGGGATCAAAGCCTTGGAGCTGAGTGCCTGTTGGTATTTTGCCAGACAAGTTGTTATATGACAAGTCCAAGAAACTAAGACGATCTATCTGAGCAAGGCTTGTCGGAATTCCTCCATCTATATGGTTTCTTGATAAATCAAGCGAATCCAATGACTGCAAGTTTCCAATCTCTGGAGTTATTTGACCTGTTAACCGGTTTCTTGAAAGGTTTAAAGAAACCAACCCAACAAGATGAGTGATTTCACATGGAATCTCCCCTGTTAATCTATTGCTTGAGAGATCAATTCTCTTCACAAGGCCCAAAGTGCTTTTGTATGTCTGCATTCTTCCTTTCCATATGAAGCTTGCATCATCCTCATAATTAGTACTTAAAATTGATCATCCATATGCACGTCATAAGTATGTGTGCTGGACAGACTTGGATTTCCTTTTTGAGACAGAGTAGTCAAATTGTTGAGGCATTTGGGTATGCTTCCAGAGATGTTGTTCATAGAGAAATCCATAATTTTAATGTATGTTAGATGGCATAATTTTGAGGGCATGCTTCCATTGAAGTGATTATTGGAAAACATAAGGATAACCAAATTCTTGAAGCTCACACCTAACCATGTAGGTATTGGTCCTGATAATTTATTATCTCCCAGATCAATAACTTCTAAACTTGTGCAGTTCTTCAACGATGAAGGCAATTCTCCAACAAATCGGTTGCTTCTTAATTTCAAAGTTTGCATTTGAAATAAAGAGCCAATTGTCATGGGAATTTTTCCGGAAAAAGCGTTGTTACTCAAATCAAGCATGACTAGATTCTCCAAATGGCTCCAGCAATCTGGAAGTTCTCCAGCAAAACTGTTGCTTGAAAGATTAAGATACGCTAAAATCATATCTGCACTTGCGCACAGGAAAGAAAGAGACCCTGAAATTTTATTATTGGAGAGATCCAGATAGGAGGCTTGTGATAGAGTTGAGGGAATTGGACCTTCTATTTGGTTGGAACTCAAATGTAGTTCTTTGTAATGTGCAAACTCCACTGTCAAATTTGTAAATATTCCTCTGATTTGGTTCTGTGAGAGATTAATAACCTTTGCGTTACGAAAATTACTCCAAAACCAACTTGGAAGGATATCAGAAATTCCAGCATTGGAAATATCAAGCCAGGAAGAATCATTTTGAGTTTGAAGCCATTTTGGGAAAAGAGGACCGACCTTGCAGGACGCCAACTGTATGGAACGCAACTGGAAGGGAGGAACCCAATCAGAATGGAAATTTAAAACTAGTGAGTTATAGGATAATCCAAATAACCTAAACGGGAGAGTTTTGAGAAATGAGTTTCTGAAACCACCCCTTCCAAAGAGTTTTTGCTGAAATCGATTCCCTCCAGTTGCGACATTTGCCCAATACTTTCAGGTATTTTTCCGCTTAATTGATTGGCCCTAAGATTCAACGATTTCAAAGATGAGAAGCTTGTAAGATTGTTTAATGACCCCTTAAGAACATTCTCAGAGAGGTCCAGATACCCTAATGAGTTTTGAGCACATCTAGGCAATAGTTGAACAAACTTGGATAATTGTCCACTCAGATGATTTCTCTGAAGCAACAATGTTCCCAAATTACACAACCTTGCAAACGAATTTGGATTCGCTCCATCAATCTGGTTATCAGAGAGATCCAGATCCACAAGAGAGCTCATGTTTCCAATGAAATCGGGAATGAAACCAGTTAGATTATTGTTGGAGAGAGACAGACTAGCAAGAGAGCTCATGTTTCCAATGAAATCAGAATTGAAACCAGTTAGATTATTGTAGGAGAGGTCAAGACTAACAAGGCTTGTACTGTAGTTGGACAACCAAAGAAATATTGAAGAAGTGAGATGGTTGTGAGAGAGATCCAGATCCACAAGAGAGCTCATGTTTCCAAAGAAATCGGGAATGAAACCAGATAGATTATTGTTGGAGAGGTCAAGACTAACAAGGCTTGTACTGTAGTTGGACAACCAAAGAAATATTGAAGAAGTGAGATGGTTGTCAGAGAGATAAACAGACGCAAGAGATGTAGAAGAATTTGTTTTGTAAAGAGTAGTGGAAAGAATTGGAGTAGGAGGAGGAGGAAGACTACAGTTCACCAATCTCAACTCTACTAGTTTAGGGAGCTTATTAAGTACTGCTTCTGGCCAATCGAAAACAGTACTGAGATTGTTTCCGCTTAGGTCCAAATGCGTTAAAGAAGAAAGAGCAGGGAGCCAATTGAGATTTTCTGGTTGAAGCTGATAATTATCGCTGAGGTCGAGATGTTGCAATTGCGTGAGGTTTCCAAACGAACTTGGAATTTGACCAACAAAATTACAGGAATAGAGACTGAGGTACCTTAGATTGGTTAGAGAACCAATGAAATCGGGAATTTGGCTCCCATCGAAGTTTCCGCTTAGGTCCAAATCCGTTAAAGAAGAAAGAGCAGGGAGCCAATTGAGATTTTCTGGTTGAAGCTGATAATTATAGCTGAGGTCGAGATTTTGCAATTGCGTGAGGTTTCCAAACGAACTTGGAATTTGACCAACCAAATTACAGGAATGGAGACTGAGGGACCTTAGATTGGTTAGAGAACCAATGAAATCGGGAATTTGGCTCCCATCGAAGTTTCCGCCAAGGTCCAAATCCGTTAAAGAAGAAAGAGCAGGGAGCCAATTGAGATTTTCTGGTTGAAGCTGATTATCGCTGAGGTCGAGATGTTGCAATTGCGTGAGGTTTCCAAACGAACTTAGAATTCGACCAACCAAATTACAGGAACTGAGACTGAGGTTTCTTAGATTGGTTAGAGAACCAATGAAATCTGGAATTTGGCTCCCATTGAACTTAGTCAATGAAAGGTCCAAATACGTTAAAGAAGAAGGAGCAGGGAGCCAATTGAGATTTTCTGGTTGAAGCTGATGATTATAGTTGAGGTCGAGATGTTGCAATTGCGTGAGGTTTCCAAACGAACTTGGAATTTGACCACCCAAATTACAGGAACTGAGACTGAGGTTTCTTAGATTGGTTAGAGAACCAATGAAATCAGGAATTTGGTTCCCATTGAAATCAATGGATGCAAGGTGCAAATATTGTAAATGCTGCAACTCAATCAGTTTAGGACTAATCATCTTACCTTGGAAAGAATATCCAAAGAAAGAATATTCAGGGACAGAATATCCAAGATGAAGTTGAATCACATGGCCAGTTTGGTTGCTACAGTAGACTCCTTCCCATCTGCAACAATCTTGTTTTTCGGCTTCTGAACCCCAAGATGAGAGTTGATTGAAGTCATCCACCAGGCCACGTTTGAATGCAAGTAGTGCTTGCCTTTCCCTCTCTATGCACCTCACTGTCACTTTAGCATCCCTGAGGCTGTGGCTGTGGTTGTGGCTGTGGCCAACTTCTCCTCCTTTTACGTTTTGTAGGAAAAGGATCGAAAATGCAAGAAAGAGTTTCAAGCACCTTCCGTCGCCCTTCATGTTAATTGATCAAAAACACTGCAAGTATATATTGATGTATGGTTGTCTCTCATATATGCTAGCTTGCATCAGATATATATAGGAAAAAAGGAAGAAAGCCTTTACAAAGAAAAACACGGTTTAGCTAAAGCAGAGCCACACATTCATACAAGACAAAACCATATAAAGGAGTAAATTATCTGCTATATACAATGCAAAATTAATGTTATGGAAATCACAGTCAATCACAATGAGACTAGAATGTCAAGGTGCAATTCTAAGAGCACCTCCACCGCAGGCACAGAGTCGGGCAAAAGGCCCCCCCAGATAGCCCAAAACAGCTCCAGCGCTGCACTTCCAGCCCGGGCAAGCCCTGGGTCCCACCAGCCCGGGCAAGCCCAAGGGCAAGTTTCCACTGGGCTTCAGCCCGAGTTCGATGACGTCAGAGTGACATCATCGCACGGTACTGTGCCACGTGTCGCAACCCTGACTCTTCGATCCTTTTTTTTTCCAACAATCCGACAGTCCTCGTTTTTTTGGCTAAAAAAATTGCAAAAAAAATCGAAAAAAATCTGAATTTTTTAAAAAAAATACCAAAAAATTCTGTATTTTTTCCCTATAAATACATAACCATTTTATTTTTTCCCTCACATTTTTCTACTACTTTCCATTTGTATAAAAAAAAAAAAACAAATGGCATAAAAAATTGCAAAAAAATTCAAATTTTTTAAAAAAATACCAAAAAATTCTGGATGTTTTCCCTATAAATACCTAACAATTTTATTCACTTTCCACACCAAATCTTCATCCAAAATATAAATAGTGATACGTGACAACCGAAAATATAATCTAAAAAGCTTATCAAAATTAATGGTTTAAAATATAAAAAAATAGGAAATAAAGTACAATGAATAGTAATTGCCTTAGACTTGCCCTAGACTTTGCCCTCATGGGTGGAACCACAAATGCAAAGGCTGACACTATTCATGTGAATAGTGACAGCCCTTGCTTGCCCTTGCCCTAGACTTAGCCCTTGTGGGTGGAGATGCTCTAAGTTCTTACAAACAAGAATACAAATCATTATGGAGGTAATTAAATTAAGTACACTATAATTGTTCCATCATAACTTATAGAAACCAAATTAATGATGACGCATGAGTTAAAAAGTAAGATGCAGGAATAAAAAGTATTTTTTTTTAATTTCGATAAAATAATAAAAGTACTATTTTTAAAATTTTGGTTAATTTTTTAATATAAAAAGAATTGTGTACGTTCGGTGACATAGCATGCAGTTTTGCTGAATAGTGACAACTCAATGATGCTCTCATACCATGCCATGTGGACAACCAACCTGTATATGTAGATTCAATTTCAAATACATTTGAATGTATCAGTCAGAAAGGAAAAACATTTCTTGTAACGGGAATAACACTATTTTGCTATCTCCACAATAATGCTTGAAAAAATTATCCTAGGTGGTTTGAAACATTTACTAGTATACCTTGTGATTAGTGTGGCAAACAAGTTTAAGGGGAAACGTTTCAAGATGGAGTAAATTTTTTTTTGGGGTTAAATAAATTTTCTTTAGATGAAAAGGAAATTACTAAGACAATCAATGTGAGATCTATGGAAACACATATTTCACCAGTCAATAAAAAAATAACACGTGAAAAAGCGGTATTCCTTAAATCAACTAATTATCCTATTTAAATCCTATTGAGCATTGGTCCATCTTCGGAATTTGTAACGATGGGCAAGGAGCTTGCTGTGGACAGCTATCTTCAAGTAGACTTTGAAGTCTTCGTATGCCAACTCATGATGATTGACTCACACAAAAAGACTGTTAAGTCTACATACTTGAGTGTAAACTAGACTTTTAAGTCTTTGCACATCCACATTTAACTCAAACGTCAACAAACGGTAATTTTTTTTTCCTTTTGCTTTTTTAATTGCTCAATTACTTTATTTTACCATTTTTATGTTTTTTCTTTGAAAGGAGCTCTTAGATATAGGTTCAATTTCACTTATGTCATCAGAATTGGACTATACCAAATTTTCTAAAAAAAGAAGAAACAAAATTGTACAACGTACAACCGACTCTTATTCAGTGGTCCAAGTAAACAAGTAATAAATCAATGAATATTGGGGAAACTAATGGATGAGATCGCGAAGACTTGTGACTTAGACTTCATATGGTGATTTGCCTTTCAACGCAACTATTGACATAGACTTAATATGGTGATTTGTCTTCCAACGCGTGCCCCAATTGACTTGCATGTATTAACTCGGCTTGACTTGGTAAGGTGCCTTCCCATGTCCACTCAACCATTGGGTTTGCTTCCCATCCCCCTAGACACAAGCTACAAATATCTTCTTGCAAATGTGGACTTGACTTTAAGTGAAACATATGGAAATATCTCTACCCAATATTAATGTAATACCTATATACTTATTGATAATAATAAATGAAAATTGGGTTTTTATTCAACAACTATAATACGAGAGTTTTTCCAAAACACTTTGGTTATTGACCAAGTCTATTTTGAAATGCCCCTATAATTTAGGTTAATATTACATGGGGTCTTACAATTACACACAAAAGTTTTTCGTATTATAGTGATGATCACGAAACATTTAAGTATATTTAGTGTTGGATATCTGATCATAGAGTTTCGGAGCAGCTTCTTTCATTTGCAGTCGGATTCTTTGATTTGATTTGTTTTATTGCTCGTTAAATGATTAGTATATGAATTACGTACTCAGTCCTGTTCTTCTGGACTCCTGTGGTCCAAGGAAATTGTGCCACCTACCCTTGGATATAAATTATAATATAAGTGTAATTAAAAAAACAAGTTTAAAAATTAAACAACAACTAAAATGAAAAAACTAAAACTAAGGAGCAAAACACGCTCCCACTGAAGCAAGAGAGCTTGGGTGGTGAGATGCATATGGATTGGTTGACCAGCAATTCTCAGTCGGAATAGGGGCGAGATGCTGAAGACGATGACCAATTCTCAGTCGGGTTGGGTAGTGAGATGCATCTGGATTCTTTTTCTGACAATACCCAACCTATATGAGAGAGAGGGAGAGAAGACATAGAGAGGGGCATACAAAAAAGGGAAAGGGGAGGTGCATCAGAGACATGGGATAGGGGATGAGGGTCGGTTGGGTATTTTATTTTTATTTTTAATTGTAATGGCTTGGATGAAATGAATGATGATCACAATACTTAAATTAATATTCCACTACTTTAATTCTCAACAGCAACCAAATTGATTTTTAACAATTGTACAATGTGTTTTTTTCTTTCCCCATTGTTCGTGTTTTGAAGGGTTTTGCTTCTTACACCCTGATATTTTTCTTTTAATTTTTTGTATCATAATGTTAGACAAAATTTAGGTTTTTTCTACTTAGGAGTCGAGGGTGGGTCCAACAAAAAATAAGAATCTAGGATGATGTCTTGTAATCTGTAATGAGGAGAACTCTTTCGTTATAATTTACAAAAAGAAAAAGGAGCTCTTAGATATAGGTCCAATTTCACTTATGTCATCAGAAGTGGACTATACCAAATTTTCTAAAAAGAAGAAGAAAAAAACTATACAACGTACAACTGACTCTTATTCATGTCACTATGTGGAAAAAGATAGTTGAAGAAAAATTTGTTAGTGGTCCAAGTGAACAAGTTATAAATCAATGCATATTGGCGAAATTAATGGATGAGATCGAAGACTTGTGACTTAGATTTGATATGGTGGTTTGCCTTTCAACCAACTATTGTCTTAGACTTAATGTTGTGATTTGTCTTCCAACGCATGCCCCAACTTGCAGGTATTAACTTGGCTTGACTTGGTAAGGTGCCTTCCCGTGTCCACTCAACCATTGGCTTTGAGTCCCATCCCCCTAGACACAAGCTACAAATATTTTCTTGCAAATGTGGACTTGACATAAGTGAAACATATGGAAATATCTCTACCCAACCCAATATTAATATAATATTTATATATTTATTGATACTAATAAATGGAACTTGGGTTTTTATTCAACAACTATAATATGAGAGTTTTTCAAAACACTTTGGTTATTGACCAAGGCTATATCGAAATGCTCCTATAATTTAGGTTAATATTACATGGGGTCTTACAATTACACACGAAAGTTTCTCGTATTATAGTGATGGTATCTGATCATAGAGTTTCGGAGTAGCTTCCTTCGTTTTGCATTCGGCTTCTTTGATTTGATTTGTTTTGTTGCTCGTTAAATGATTAGTACATGAATTACTCAATCCCATTCTTCTGGATTTCTGTGGTTCAAGGAAATTGTGGTCACCCACCCTTGGATATAAATTATAATATAAGGGTTATTAAAAAAAAAGTTCAAAAATTAAACAACAACTAAAATGAAAAAATTAAAACTAAGCAGCAAAATACACTCCACTGAAGCAAGAGAGCTTGGGTGGTGAGATGCATATGGATTGGTTGACGAGCAATTCTCAGTCGGAATAGGGGCGAGATGCTGAAGACGATGACCAATTCTCAGTTGGGTTGGGTAGTGAGATGCATTTTTTTTTTTTTTTTTTTTTTTTCTTTCATACCCAACCCATATGAGAGAGAGGGAGAGAATACAGAGAGATAGGCATGCAAAAAGGGGGAAGGGGAGGTGCATAAGAGACATGGGATAGGGGAGATTGGGGGTGAGCTGGTATTTTATTTTTATCTTTAATTATAATGGCTTGGATGAAATGAATGATGATCACAATACTTAAATTAATATTCCACTACTTTAATTCTCAACAACAACCAAATTGATTTTTAACAATTGTACAATGTGTTTTTTTTTTTGTTTCCCCATTGTTCGTGCTTTGAAGGGTTTTGCTTCTTACACCATGTTATTTTTCTTTTAATTTTTTGTATTATAATGTCATACAAAGTTTAGGTTTTTTATACTTAAGAGTCGAAGGTGGGTCCAACAAAAAATAAGAATCTAGGGTGGCGTCTTGTAATCCGTAATGAGGAGAACTCTCT